TCTCCCCCAAACCCCCCCAGTGACCTGTAGGGTGGCTTCCTGACATGATAAAGGCACTGGGTGTGCAGCGACTGCTCTCCTGACTTGTTGATGTCACCTCCGGCTGGGATAACCTCGTGAAAACCCACTCGTGATTACTACAGGAGACATAACAACAACTCGTTTGGTAACTCACAGGTAACTTGAAGTGCTCCTGTGCTGTCTGGCTCCTTGCTTAGTCAGCACTGCAGCTTCCAGGACACACTCAAGGCACAGTCAGGCTCGGGACAGTAAGAATCCAGCAGAGATATTCACCTCCTGCATCCCTTTCTACTGACATGGAACATCCAGTTGGCTTCAGGGACATATTCTCCCATGGACCAGCACACTCGAGCATCTCACAGGATCCAAACGCTCCCAGGGATTTCTAAAGCTTTCCAAGAACAGCCTTCAGTCGCTGCTAGCTTCCACCAAGGCCCTGCCCAGACCAAATCTGAACAGTCCCTAAATTATTCAGAGCTCCATTATTACACCTGGGTCATTTGCAGTGACTCATTTGTAGTGTGTCCAGTTTGAGGCATGTGGGAGAGATTAATTACCCTCCTTGCACGGGCCCTGTCTAGACTGGGAAACTGAGGTGTGTCCAGCAGAGCAGGGACATTTGGCCCAGCCGGGTTCCACACAGGGCACACAGCAGAGGAACCCTGAGCCCTTCCAGGCAGTGGGAGGGAGCTTGGCTTGACTGGACTTGCCAGTGTCACACTTCAAATGGGGGGGGGTGATGTAAAACCACCCAAATTCTCACTCAGCGCATGTGGCTTCAGTGCCTGTGAGAACAACACAGGCAGGGTCACCCCAGCACACACACAAGTCCCAAGCCAGTGGGAGAACCCTGGGAAAACTGGTATCCTCTGCTAAGCACACATCTGGGGGTGACAAACACCAGCACCCACAAGGAATCACTACCTGTCACTGAGCAGCTTTACAGGACAAACAAGAAGTCAGGCTGAGTCTGATGGGACTGCTCCTTGCATCCCACTGCTGGGATAGCATGGGCCATTTGAGATGGAACAAGACAGGGAGGACAGAAAGCTGCATCCTCCTCTTTGCCATCTTACCTGATACAAGCAGTGTCCTGCCAGGCCACAGTCTGCTCCCCCTGACCTCCCTTTCAGCTTCCAGGCCGTTTATCCCCATCCCAGTGCGCTCCTGGGATCACTGCACAACTCACACAGCTGCTGGAGGACAAATCTTGTCCTCCACACTCCCCAGGCTTCATCCCTCAGCTGAGGCCTCCACGTGCTGTGAAGCCCATTTGAACTCTCTCCCAGGGGAGAGTGTGGACACCGACATGTAAGGACAGGTTTGGCAACTGCTGTTTACAGGAGAGGCCTCAGGTTTTGGCTGGTAGAGACAGGCAGAGGCCTCCTCTCAAATTTCAGATCCTCACGTAGGGATCTGACCAGAGGGCAGGGCAGTGCTAGGGCAGGACAGGACAGCCCCGAGCCATGGGGGAGAGACAGCCTTTCCCTCCCTGGCTCCCCTCTCACCTCCCAAATGCTCCACAGCACTTAGCACCAAGCAGGGCTTCTCCTGCACAGGCCCATTTCCCTTCATGGGTGTCACAACCACCTCCCACGAACAAAATACGGGTGCCACTGCACCCAGGCAGGGATGGTCATTTGGGGGCAGCACCCTCAGAGCTGTGGCTCAGCCCCACAGAGCACCCACAGCCCCGAGGGAAGGCGAGGCTCCTCCTCGGGCTCTCTCCAGCAGCAAAGCCAGTTTAAGAGGTTCCTACTCCACCCTGTCTCCCCATCTCACACTCCCACCTCTCCAGCCTCGGCAGGTTTGCTGATGGGGCAGGTAATTCGCTACCCCAGCACAGACAACAATTTGGATTAGGTGCTTCCCCACTGCCAACCTCCATCCAAGGCCAGGATCCCTAATTCCCTGGGGCAGCGTTCAGCTCAGGGGCATCAGCTCCCGAGGCACTGACTGAGGGAGGGAGAAAACCTCTTAAACCAGCTCTGCCACCCCGGCAATCCTAACTGGGAACCACGCCCTGACATCCAGACTGCTGACTTGACAGCTAGTGGGGAGACCACTGTGGGCAGGATCTGTCCTCTGGATAACAGCACTCTCCTGCTGTGCTCCCAAGCCATTCCAAAGTGATCCAGCACTGCTGTCCTTCATTCCTCACCCCGATCATTGTCACTGAAAGCCCACGGCATCGCTCTGGTGATGTGCTAATCCCGGCCTGCAATTCACAGGGTCTTGCTACTCTGAGCTCCCAGCAAAGGCCTGGCAAAGGGAGTCCTGGAGCAGGGAGAAGGAGAGATTTCCTCACACTTCCAGCGCCCAGGAACACCCAGTGACACCCCTGCAGAAGGACAGGCAGACTGTGCTGTGAGGAAACACAGCACCAGGCTGACCCAACTTCTTTATTCCTGCCTTTGGGAAGTCCTCGTGGGGAGCCTGGTATGCCATGGGCTGGGTGCAACCACCCAGTGACAGCCAGCGAAGACTTCCAAGTCTCTGAGAGGGACCGTGGCATTGTTAGTGCCAGGGCTGGACTGTCACTCAGGCACAGGACACAATGGAGCATTTCAGCTCCTCCATTAAGGGCCTGCAAAACACACAACCCCAGAAGAACTGCCTCGTTAGGCAGCTGAGGAGAACATTTACAGACAATTAGGAGAAAACGACTCCTGCAAGCCCCATCCTCCACTTCTCAGCCCCCATCTCCGGGTGAGGAATATCCACGGGTGTCCTCTCCACCCTCACTCAGCATCACCCCAACACCCTCAGAGCTGGGTGAGCCTCACCAGGACACAGCTTCTCCCACAGTTTGTTTTGTGGCATCCTCCTAGTGCTACCCCTGCATCCTGGGAAACTCACCCGGGCCTTTATAATCCTGGGAGTCATGGATACAGAGTCTGAACTTGGGAGCAAGCACAAGTCAGAGCAGTGCAACCCACTTAATCTGTCATTATGCCACAGGGGGATGTGTGAACTGGTAGAAAATTCCTGTAGGAGTGAGACTACACCCGGAGCAGAGGTGAGTTCTCCTCCAAACCCAGATCTCTCCCCAACACTGGCAAATTCATTCAGAAAACAGACACGCATCAGATTTTTGTTGAACCAGAGGAAGGCAACAGTATTGCAAACTAAATAAAATAACACAAAACACTCGAGATTTCCTCTATATCCTGATGGAAATCAGTCAGGAAAAAGATGCTGTTGCTGTGATTACATGACACACCAGAAAACAAACTTTTGTTTGCCATCTCAGGCCATCAAAACATGCAATTAAGTCATCACCTTCATTGCTATAAACTATTCTAGCCCAGGCTGTTTGGCTACTGAGATTATTTTTTTTAAATTGTTTTTGTTTTTGCTGTCACACACACACTGAACTCCAGTCACACACAGCTGTCAGCACTAGAAACACACTGTACTAACCAATTACCTGCTTCCCTACCTGGAACTTTTAATTTTGGCCTACTAAAGCCAGCTCCTAAGTCGAAGGCATACACAGGATATTCCAATAAGTCATATTCAGCACTTTTGCCTTCCTGGATAATTCAAGTCACGCTTTACAGAAGAAAAATACTCATCTTTTAAAGGCCCTTCAACAAGGGAGCATCACCGACACAGTGAGAACATGGAATGAGCTGAAAGTTTCCAGGAAAAGCAAGGCATGAGGTAAAGCTCCTCCACCACACAGGGGTCATGCCTCCTCCTCTGGGCCACAGGCCAGCACGGAGAACACACACACAAGTCCAGGTGAGTCTCATCCTCTGCTTGCTGCCCTTGTGCCTTCCCAAACCCCTTAAGCAGCAAGCTCATCAGTGCACAGGCATTTATCCAGCTTAGAACATTCTGCTGGAGCCCAGCCCACCCGCACCAGGACACCAACTCTCCCTGATTTTTATTTGACAGATGAGAAGCATTTTTAAACCAGTAAATTCGTGGCTGATAAGCCCCCTTCACTTGCTGTGTCTTTATCCAGAGGTTTTGGGTTAGTCCTGGGTCGTTCCCCAGTCAAACCAGCACCTTGGGTTGTGTCCTGCACACTGTGGGAACCAGCATGTCAGCATGACAAAGTGGGATTGCTGCTATTGCCAAGCTAAAACATCCCCCAAAACACTTGGGAGCTCCCCAGCACCCTTTCCATGGCCAGCACCCAGAACTAAGGGCAATGCTTAATGCCAAATACCACATGGCCTCACACCAAATGAGTCCAGAGTATTAAAGGATAAGGATTTACCTTTATGGGCAGCACCTCGAAGGGGAGGGAACAGGTAGTGCTGTGACCCAGAGAGCAACTCCATCACAGAGTTGCCACTTGCCCTTCCTGGGGGTTTACAACTGCCTCAAAACCATGTGGGAGACACAGCAGCTTCCCTGGGATCTCTGGGAACATCATCTCAGACTCTCAGAGCAGCTGCTCCCAGGCTGTTCCCAGACCATGGGATTCACGCAGTCCCCCCAAACAGCAGCACAAACACCAGACAAGGCACAGCTCCTGACAGGGCCTAACTGGGACCTGACTGCTGGAACAGCTCCCTCCAGAAGAACACAGTGGGAGAAGACACAGGCACAGGAAAACCAGCTTCAGGCTCAAGCTTTCTCAGATTTCACAGCACACTCAAACCAAGGCCCACAGAACAGTCACGCACAACGTTTCAACTCCTCTCCTTGTTCCAGACACACAGACAAAACCTGTAGTGACAAACTACACTGATACTTCTTTCGTGTCCTTATCCCACAGCTCCTCCCTCAACCTCCAACCCTCCCCTCTTCCAGAGCTCAGCAGCCAAATTCCCTTCAACCTCGGTGACACAAAAAGACCCACACAGAGCCACTGCCAGGCAAGCTCACCGCTCTGGGCAGGCTGCAGCCATCTACCATGAGCCCGTTTGGGCTGTTCAACCCTGCTGCCAGGAAAAGCCTTCTCCTTCTCCAGCTCCAATAGAACCCAGACCGGGATAAGATTGTTTAGGGCCAGTACTGACCAGTCTTTGGCTGTAACGGATCCGCTCCTCCTCAGGCTCCATCTCCGACTCCTCTGAAGAGAGCGAGAAGGACACGCCAGGACTGCTGTCTTCGTCCTCTTCCTCCTTGGAAGCCAGAGGGAAACAGTGAAGCAGGGCATGGAGACACAGGACACCTACAACCCCCCTTCCCTGCTCCTTTTGGGGCCGACCCCACCCCCCTGTGCAGGGCTAAGAGAACACAGTGGCTGAGCCCACCCCAACTTTGAAGGCTCCCATTCTAATTTAGGCACGACCCAGTAAATGACTTCACCAGCTGCTCTGTAACGTGACAGGACCTGTGAGTCTCTCATCAGGAAAAGGCCTTTGCTCCACTCTACCACCAGCCCAAACACCAGCTCCGCTGGCCCACAGTGGGACAAGAGTGCTGTCAGACCCTCAGTGGCGGTCAGGGAGCAGCCTGGCTTCCCCAAAATAACGCAGAGAACCAACTCCTCCAAACAACACAACCTCGGGATCTCCTCTGCCATGGCATTTGGGAGAAGCTACACCAGCACACATCTCCCATGAGCAGGGAAGGCACACAGGATCTCCCCTACATACAGCACCCAAGCAGGGAAGCACTGAGGGACCTAACTCCTGACTTGAGAAGACCTAAATGCTTCGATCTCCAAATGTGCCACCTGGTGACACCACACACCAACCCGGGAAAACCACCCGAGGCGTCAGATGGCACCTACACTCTCTTTTTTTTTTTTTTTTCTTTTTAAGGGACAGGAAGGAACCAAAGCCCGGGTACATCGAAGCTCTTAATCCCCAGGACTATGCTTAAGCCAGACCTCCACGGGAAAGGGGTCGGGGAAGGGGGTAGGGAAAGGGGGGTCGGGAGGTGGATCTGCCACCCCGTGTGCCATTACAGAACCGCTACCACCATGTACAGAGAACTTGCTCCCTCCTGCTCCTCCCCGATCCTCGGGTTTGACAGCAGAACATCCCCAGTCCCGCCAGCACCTTCCCCACCCCTGCCTTCCTTCGAGCCCCGGGACCGGGACTCCCGGCTCGGTCGAGGGAGGCAGTTTGCCCTCACTTGCCGAACTCTGTTTATAAACAACCGGACAACTGGGAGCACGGCGCGCTCGCCCCGCCGCGGGGCGCGGGGGAGACCCCCCGGCCCTCCGGGCGCCCCCAGCCCGGCCCGGCCCCGCCGGGGGGCAGGAGGGTCCCCGGGGAGCTGTCAGCCGGCACCCGCCGCCCCCTCCCCAACTTCGCGGTGCGGCCTCCCGGGGCCCCGCTCCGGCAGACCCGCCCGCCCCCGCGCCCGCCCGGCCCCGCGCCCGCCCGGGGGGCGCCCGGTGACCCCCGCGGTGCTCACCAGGTCTCTCCTGCGCCTTTGTCCTCTTCTGCCGCCGGCACGGGGGGGGAGGAACAGAACACACGGAGGAGGGGGGAAAGCCCCCGGGTCAGCAGCGATCGCGCCCCGCGCCCGCCGCCCCCCCGGCCCCGCCGCCCCCGGCGCGGGCAGCGGGCGCTGACAGCGCCGCCGGCCGCCCCCCGCCGCCGCGGGCCGCGTCCCCCCGCCGCCAGCGCCGCCGGCGCCGCCGCCCCCCGCCCCGCCGCCCGGTGCCGGAGCCCCGCCGCGCCCCCCCGGGCCGGCCCGGTCACCCCGCGCCCCCCCCCGCGCCGCCGCCCCGGCCGGGAGCGGGTCCCCTCCTCACACAGGAGCCGCCGCCGCCATTTTGAACCCGTCAGAGCCTCACATACACACCGCCGCCGCGCGCACGCGCCGCACGCACAGCCGCCCCCCCGCCACCGCCTCCCCCCCGCGCGCATGCGCCACGCGCCCCCGCGGCCCCGCCCCGCCTCGCGCGTGCGCGGCTCCGCTGGGAGCCACGCCCCCTCCCCCGCTCACACACCACGCCCACTTTTCCGATTGGCCACGCCCCCTCCGTGGCCACGCCCCTCGCGGTGGGGGGGCCCGTAGGGAAGGGACGGTGGGATTTTGGGGGAGTGCGGGGGGGGGGGGGTGTCGTGCCCGGTCAGGCACCACCCCTGGGGTCCCGCGGTGTCCGCACACCTGTGCACACCTGTACGGGGGTCTGCGTGCCGAGACACCGTCACGGACGTGTATCTACATGTAACTCTGTACAACCACGGACAGCTACACACGTACATGTCTACACACAATCCACATACAACTGCTTAGGCATGGGCTACAGACACTAACAATATAGTTATAAACTATATAGAGTTATATATGCAATATACATAAACTATATAGAGTTATATATATAATATACATAGTTATAAACTATGTAGTTATATATATAACACACATAGTTATAAGCTAACAATATACAGTTATAGTTATGTGTACAGTTATATACATAATAAATATAGTTATATAGTTATAAACTACCTGTATATAGCTATAGTTACATGTATATAGTTGTAAACTATGTATATTAACTGTAAATGGTTATAACTACAGTTATATATAGTAGTATATATAGTTATAAGCTAACAATATGCAGTTCTACATTCAGTTACAGTTATATATAATAAATAGTTATATAGATAGTTACAAAGTAACTACACATAGGTATAGAATATATATAGTATATATACTATACATAATTTATAACTACATTGCATACTTGTAAACTATATTAATTATATATAGTTATAATTGCATACTATATGTAAAAACTATATGTATTATATGTAAAAACTATATATATTAACTATATATAGTTATAACCATAAATAGTTACTTATAACTACATTGCATACTTATAAAGTATATTAATTATATATAGTTATATGTAGTTATTATAGTGGCATATTTATATGTAAAAACTATGCATATCAACTATATATGGTTATAACTATATATAGTTAGTTATAAACTAACTCTAACAATAGTCAGAAACTATATATAGTTCTAATTGTGTATATGTAGTTACAAACTATATACAGTTCTAGTTATATATATAATAAATATAGGTATACAAAGAGTTTAAAAGTAACTATAGGTATAGTTACACTTATAATGTCACACTAACTCTAATGTATTTACAAATATAAAATATATAAAATGCAGGCATGTAAGCACAGACAGAATGCGGGTGCAGCACACACGTGCACACACGTAGAACACACACACACACACACATGTACACGCTTATGTATGTGCAGCACACACCTGCACACCCCTGCACACTCTCACACTCACCCCAACCCACAATCAGCAGGTAACCCCTTTCCAGAGACCACCCATCCATCCCAGATCCGTGGCGGGACCCTGTGTCCCCATCTCCCACCCCGTGTCCCCATCTCCCACCCCGTGTCCCCATCTCCCACCCCGTGTCCCTGTCTCCCACCCCGTGTCCCCATCTCCCACCCCGTGTCCCTGTCTCCCACTCCCCGTCCCGACGCCCAGGCCATGCCAGGACAGCGTCACGCTGACAAGTGTTGTGTCACTTTAATGGCAGACACGTTCCGCAGTCACCACCCGGTGTCACTCCCCGAGCCGGCCTGCCAGGGGGAAGGGGAATCCCCCACATCAGTTCTCTGCTCCCAGAGCCCGGCTGGCAGAGGATGCTCCTCTGCTCGGGTGCTAGGATTCCTAGTGGGACAGGGACAGGACGCTGGGATTCCTGGTTGGGCAGGGACAGGACACTGCGATGTCTGGTGGGACAGGACACTGGGATCCCTGGTGGGACAGGGACGGGACACTGGGATCCCTGATGGGACAGGGATGGGACACTGGGATCCCTGGTGGGACAGGGATGGGACGATGGAATCCCCAGTGGGACAGAGACAGGACGCTGAGATCCAGGTGGAACAGGATGCTGGGATTCCAGGTGGAACAGGATGCAGGAATCCCCAAAGAGGGCGCTGAGATCCCCGCTGGGACAGGACATGGGGATCCCCGCTGGGACAGGACACTGAGATCCAGGCGGGGAGCAGTTTCTTCATGCCAGGGGGACGCTTTCCTGCTGGCACCCCCCGGTGCCCGGCAGTGCCAGCCCCGGGGCAGGAGGGTGGCCGCAGTGCCAGCGGAATTGCGGCGGTGTCGGCAGAGGTGTGGCAGCAGCTGGGAGCCGCGGTGAGGCCCGAGCTGGGGGCAGCGGGAGGTCCCGGGGGTTGTGCGGTGCCGGGGGGGTCAGAGGAGCACGCAGCCCTTCCAGGCTCTCCTCCCGCGCTGTCTCCGGCGGGTGGCACTCATGGCAGCGCTGCTGGCTGCCACGAAGATGTTCCCGACGTTCTCCTGGTACCTGGCCGAGCACTCCATGTAGGACACGGCGCGGACCTGCCGGGCCATGGCCTCTCCCTGCGGGGAGACAAAGAGTCAGATCCCCCACGAGCACCCCGGGTGCCCCACTCCCCCCATCCCGTCGGAGGGTGGCAGTCACCTGCTGGCGGGAAATGGGCTCCATCCGTCCATCCCGCAGCTTCTGCAGCGTCCCCTCGTCCTGCCGCAGGTCCGTCTTGCAGCCCACGAGCAGCACCGGGACTCCCTTGCAGAAGTGATTCACCTCCGGGTACCACTGCAGAGGGGACACGTCACCCACGGAGAGGGACAGGGGATGGAGGCAGAGGGGGACTTGTCACCCACGGATGAGGACACAGGACCAGTGTGGAGAGGAGCAGGTGATCCAGGGATGGGGACAGGGGAGAGGCACAGAGCGGGACATCTCACGCAGGGATGGGGACAGAGATGACCACAGAGGGGAGCATCTCACCCAGGGACAGGCACAGGGGACGGGCACAGAGGGGGACATATCACCCAGGGATAGGGACAGGGGACGGGCACAGACGGGGATACGTCACCCGGGGATAGGGACAGGCAGCAGCCCCAGCAGCCCCCGTGCTGTGTCACCTTTGTTAGGATGTTGTCGAAGCTGTTGGGGTCGGTGACATCGAAGCACATGAGGACAACGCTGGCGTCTGAGTAGGACAGCGGGCGAAGCCTGTCATAGTCTTCCTGTCCTGCCGGGCCAAGGAGCAGACCATTATACACCAGTTCCTTTCCGGACTGGGTCCCCTCTCCTCCGCCATGGTCCCTCCCTCGTCCCCCGAGGGGCCACGGGAGTGACATCTTCTGTTAACCTCTCCTCTCCCACGGTCATTGCATGGGGACACCCCTCCGAGGAACGACCCAGAGGTGTGGGACACACCAAAACGCTTGGATGGGAGGGTGGGCGGCACAGTTGGCCGTCCTGTCCCCTCCTGTCCTACCTGCTGTGTCCCAGAGGTGGACCGTCACGGGCTTCCCGGCAACCTGGAGGGACGCCGTGTACTTCTCGAACACGGTGGGGACGTAGACCTGGTGGGGGACAGGGAGGGTGTGAGACAGGTCCCACAGGCAGCGGTGGGGGGGCATCCCATGGGGCCAGGGCAGGGCACGGGGAGGTACCCGGGAGAGAGAAACAGGGGGCAGCAGATGGTGGTGCCTTGGTGGAGCAGGTGGGGTCGGCACCGTCCTTGACCCCTATTCCAGGGCACTGCTGAACCTCTTGGATGTCCCGGTGGGACTCGGAGCTCCAGACAGACGGTCTGGGGGTTCCGCAGCTGCTCCCCCCTCCACAGCCACCCCGGGTGCCGTCGGTGCCCTCGCTGAGGGACAAATCCCGCTCCCCATCCTGTGACCCCCAGGTGAGGCAGAGGTGCCCACCCACCCACCGAGGGGGGGCTGCCGCAGACCCCCATCAGCCCCAGGCTGGGCCACCCCCTCCCCAGTCCCCCAACGCCCCCATGTCCCACTGCAAACGTCCCCACTGCTGCCACCGCGACCCTTCCATCCCGCGTCCACCGCCCTCTGCCCCTGTCGCCGCTCCCGCACGGGGACAGTCACCCTTTCCCCCCACCGGTGTGTCCCGTCCGGGCTGGGACAGGGCACAGGGAGCACGGTACCTTGGGAAAGTCCCCCTTGGCGAAGGCCACCAGCAGCGATGTCTTCCCGCAGCCCCCGTCCCCCACGACGACAGCCTTGACCTCGCTTTCGGGGGGTCCTGGGCTCTGCCCCCCGCGCTCCCGCTGCATGGGGGTGTCCAGTGGGGCCGCGGAGCCTGCCTGGCCTCGGCGGAGACAGGGATGAGGACGGGGCGGTGGGAAGCACCCGCCCGGTCCAGGGTGTGGCCGTCACCCGCCCGTCGGGCCCGCCCGCGGCGCCGCTCGGGGCTGGGGCCGTGGAGGTGACAGCGGCGGGGACACGCGCGTGGGTGTCCCCGCGCACCTCCCATGACCTTCTCCCGGCAGGAGAGGCGTAGCCTTCCCACGTCCACGTCCCTCCTGTGGGTGCAACTCCCCCTCACACACCTGCCCGTGCACCCACGTGGCTGCCTCTTGCACACGCAGGGACACGGGTGACCCCATCCCGCGGGTGACCTCATCCCACGCGTGCAGCCCCCCAGCTCCTCCTGGCACGCTCCGAGCAGCTCCTCTTGCACACTCGTGCTTGCACGGCCCACATTCCTGTGCCTGCGTGTGCAAACACACCCGTGGGCCCTCCCCGACACCCCATTCCCACCTCGAGCCCAGGTTTTATTGCCCTGAGCATCCACAGGAGGCAAAGTCCAGGGGTGGAGGGAGGCACGAGGGGGGGTGACTCACTGCTACGTCCCTGCCACCAGAGCCACCCCTGACGTCACACGTCACGCCTGTGCCTTGCCATGCTGGGCCAAGCCCTGCCAGCAATCTCTGGTGCCCAGCTCAGCTCAGCACCAGAGAGGGAGGGGGGCAGCCCCCCACCCCCAAATTTTTCTGGGGACAGGTTGTGACACCCCACTTTGCTCGTGGATATCCCAAACCAGCACTGATGGTGCTGGGGGTGGTCCCCACTGACACTCATGGGGGGCAGCCAGTGCTGCTCTGGGGAGGAAGGAGGGATTATGTCCCCCCCAACACCCCTGCTTCGAGGTCCCCAGAACCACTTCCCCTCCAGTCAATGCCATCCTCTGTCACTGCAAAACCCTGTTGGGAGCAAAGGGGTGCTTCTGGTCTAGGGGTGCAGAGAGGGATGGGAGAATCATCTGTGTGGTTCCCTGACATCACTGCAGCCCAGCAGCTCATCTGCCACCAGCCCCTCTGGGTTTGGTGGGTACCAGTCAGTCAGGAGAGTTCTGGAGCCCCCAGATCAGCTGGAGTGAGTCCAAACCGATGGCTGGAGCACCAAATTCCGATTTCTCACCCAGGCCTGACACAGGATGAATTTGGAGGGGACAGAGCAGGGATTCTCATGCCCGGAGGCTGGAAGGCAAATGCACACAGTAATGAACAATCTGAGAAGGATGCCAGCATCGGGGCAGGATGGGGAGAGGAGGCTGGAGCACCATATAAAACAATTAGGAAGGTGGTAATTACCAGTCTAATGAGATATCAGGTTGAATCCTAAAAGCATCAAGATTCTTTCACAGCAAGATGTAACTGTTGCAGTGTTCATCCTCTGGGGTATTCGCTCGGACAAAACATTTCCTTTCCCGCAAGACCAACAGAAATCTGACGGGAGAAGAGACAGCCCAGTGCTCTCACTGCCTGACCTGTGACTGTGCAGAAACGCCCCAAAAAGCAGCTTTATTTGGGGAGAGACGGGCTGCTCGGAGCTCCTGAGGACGGGGAGACCCCACACCTCCTCATCAGAGAAGACTGTGGCAAGGAGAGCTCAGACGCACAGGTAGGTCAGCTCTGGGCTGCTGCAGGGAAAGGGAAGGGGTCGGGACCAGAGTCCAGCCCTGGGGGTGTCTCCTTAGATCTCCCCACAGCCCCCTCACTGCTCCCATGGGTGACCTTAATTGGGGTGAAGGGAGCCCCTCCAACCCTCCCTCCCCCCCACAGCCACAGCCCTCCTATCGCCCAGACCCCAGTCCTGCTTTGTTTGCCACATCACCAGCACCCCTGTCCCTGTCACATCCCCTGGGGTCCCACTAACTCTCTGCCTGCTCTGACCACAGCCAGGGATCACATCCCATCTTCCACCATGGAGCTGAACCAGACATCCCCAGCTCCCACATCTCCCTTGACGGACACCAAAGGAGATGATCCGTGTGGGATAGAGGTCACCGACATGGCCATAGATGGTGTCATCCTACTCATTGGCTTCTGTGGGCTGCTGGGCAACGGGGCTGTCCTCTGGCTCCTCGGCTTCCACATCCGCAGGAACCCCATCACCGTCTACATCCTCAACCTGGCCGTGGCTGATTTCACCTTCCTCCTCTTCATCATCACCTCATCCCTGCTCTACATGGTGGACAATGCCTCCTGCTCTCCCGTCGTGTCC